GTAGGAATTAAGATCCTGAGTAGGATCCTGGGTAAGAATTAAGATCCTGAGTAGGATCCTGGGTAGGATCTTGAACAGGATCCTAATAAGTAATGAGCAGGATCCTAGATAAATAATAATAAAAAAAAACAACATCAAGGCAGTGGGCAATTAAAATAGTTGAGCGTACGAGACTTATATGAGTATAATATGGAYAGGTATCGTAGATAGGTAGCAAAGGTACAGTAAATGATAAAGTACATCGTATATAAATGTATATTGAATTGAGAATAAATAAAGCGTTTCGAATGAAGGGCAACGCAAATTTAAGTCTTTACGACCTTCTCGCTCTGACGATCAAGGAATTCGATCCCACTTTTTCAAACGCTCTGAATCTTGGCTTGAAAAGCTTGAATTTCACCTCGATGCAATAAAAAAGAATTTTAGGTAAGTATTTAAAAAAATCTTATATACAATAACAGATTATTTAGTGTCAGTAGACGGACGTCCTTAGATCAGTCCACATCCTCTGAATGCTTGTCTTTTTTTATAGTGGCCGAATCTCTGGATGGCGAAGATCTTGTATCTTTATACGAAGATAATGGAAAGACAATATTTATTACAATATTTTTTTTAGGAGTCTGTTTCAAGAAGAAAAACATCGGGAGAAACATCGGTGAGTGCAGTCCATGTAAATTCGAGATCGAGCCTTCACACAGGTATTCAGCGGTTGCTGGCATAACGCATGCGCATACGTTTAGGCGCCAGAGATGAAACCGTTGGTGATTTTGGTTTACTGTGGTACAAGTTCATGGAGTTTAAACGGGAATTTACTTACGAATATATCTTTTAAACACCCTTTTTGTTTCTCAGAGCTATTTTTCTGTTAATTTTAGATTTTCATTTTTGAAAATCTGCTGTTTATTCATTCCTTTCAGGCAACAGCAACGTCAGAAGTGCCTTCATCTGGTGACAGTCCAAAAGTACTTCGAATTCGTCAAATATTCTTCAAATATTTCCAGAAGTAGTACAACCTCGACTGGAGAAACTATAATTCTTGATAGTGATAATGTAAGTATGTATTCTTACTGATATGTCCTGTAATTTAACGAAAGTTATATGCAGGAAAAGACAGAACCAGTTCAGAATGAAAATGACTTAGTAAGTATTGCTACTGTGTTACAGTGCAGGATGGGAATAACATTTAAGGTTTTTTAGCAGTGAGAAGTTTTGTGCATGTGAAATGGAAGTTTAAACGTTTTTGAACATGCTCATTCAAAAATAAAAGAATAACTAGCTGACATAAACAGCTTAATCATAATATTTTTTAAAGAGTGCTTTTCATATTTCCTGTCCTATAGTTTGCAGATGTCATTTACTATTTACCACTTCTCCTTATTTTGTTAATTTGTGAAGCTATTTTATTAGTTCAACAAATTCCTAAATGTAAGAATATTTATTTATTGTTTTATTTAGATTTAGAATGGTACAAACCTTCTAGCAGATGTATCAGCCAAAGCAAAAAAACCTAAACTTTACACAACTAGTTTGTTGTCAGTACTGTTTACCGACGAAGAAATGTGTCTTAGATGTGTGGAACCTAAGGAAGGGGCCACAAGAAAAACAGCTCTTGACCAGAGCAAGATCAACTTATTAAAGAGTAAGTGTTCAACTATTTATATGATCATGAATTAATCACCATTCCCTTTCATTCAATCAGTGAAATAATAAGTTTTCCATTGTACGATTAACAGGTTTCAATGTTTCATTTATCATAAAATAGAAGCACTACATAACATAAAATAATAAAGTGCACATATCACATAAATGTGACACAATTCTTAACTATTTAGCACCTAATAAATTTATTTATGCATTAGTCAATTGAAACCCTGGCYCCCAACCCCCAGGGAAGGGCAAGGAAGTAGCACATGCAAGGTACCAGACATTTTCCTTTTTCTTGCACTTGTTCTTGCGTTTGGTTGTACTATTAAAAACTTTTTGTGCTTGCACTTATTCACATCTCATTTTCACTACTTGTGCTTGTTCTTGCTCTTGCATCGCTAGTGAAAACCTGACTTATACTAAGAATTTGCAGAAATAAACACAGTGCTTCAAAGGAATTTCTTTGTCTTTGTGTCATGCCTCGTGGAAACTGCAAGATACTGGTTTGCATTAATAGTGTTAAGGTGTTTTTAAAGTCCCTACAATCCCTAGTTGTGCTGCTATTTTTGCACAAAGTACTAATAGATATGAGAATTATTAAAATGATTTATTGAATGAGTTTATATTTTTGATATTGCAGGGTGTATCAAAGCAAAGTACGGAGAAAAGGTCCTGGACAAAGGATGGTCAGACATTTGTATCAGCCTTAATCAGAAAAAAATTAGAAAAAATTCAGAAAAATTAATGTGTGCGTTCATAATGTCAAAGAAAATATTGAGTAAATTTGTCATGTTTCTGCATGTTTCAATTGTTGAGATTTACTTGTTTTATTTAGTTCTGCTATCTGCTATTTAAGGGAGACCAGCACCAACATTGTACGATTTTTGATTTATCTGAAACTAAATTTCCTACAACAATCTTACATTTGTGATAAATCCATGGTTAAATGTTTTTCTTGATATTACAATGGGAAGTATTTATGAGTACAAACACTTTACAAAAGTACCATTTCATTTTTTGTTAACTGAAAATAGTCAATAGGATATTGAATATGGTCGTTTTTAATATGTTTAGAAATAAACAAGTTTTAAAAGAATTTGGCATTCTAATATATGTCTCAAAATCTAGAATATTATAGGATCCTTTGTATGATCTTGGAGAAGTTTAACAGGATCTTGAATGGGATCCTATACGAGATCCTATAGAATCCTATTCCAGATCCTAAAGAATACTATTCAAGATCCTATAGGATCCTATTCAAGATCCTATAGAATCATATTCAAGATCCTATAGAATCCTATTCAAGATCCTATAAGATCCTAATCAAGATCCTATTTTTTGTAGGATCCTGCTCAATATCCTATAGGATCCTGTAGGATCTTGAATATAATTCTATAGAATCCTGTCCAAAATCCTATAGGATCCTGTCCAAGATCCTATAGGATCCTGTCCAAGATCCTAAAGCATCCTGGTCAATGTCCTATAGGATCCTATTCAAGATCCTATAGGATCCTATAGGATCCTGTAGGATCTTATTCAAGATCCTACAGGATCCTGTTCAAGATCCTTTAGGATCCTGTTTAAGATCCTATAGGATCCTGTAGGATCCTATAGGATCCTGAATATGATCCTAAACAGGATCCTGTACAAGATCCTTTAGGATCCTAAACAGGATCCTGCTCAGGATTTGCACCAGGGTATATTTAAAAAAATGAAATGTGTCATGAAATGTGTTCAAGAGCAGTTATTATGAAATTGATGAATGATATATTTTATTTCTATCAGATATTATAATTAATATTCAATATTATTTATAATTTGATACACATCTATTAATTATTGCAAGAAGGTTGTCATATATAAAAAATCAATAATAACAAAAAGGGGATTAATTAAAAATTATTTGTTACGAGTGATTTTAAATCCCCCTAGATTGATGAAAATGACTATTGAAATATAGATAAGTTATAGTGCTTGGGAACTAGGTTATTATGGCCGAAAGCCCTTGGAATTAAATTCGAAATAATTTCCGACCTTGCTGGGAATCGAACCCACGACCTTCAGAATTGTACTACCGATGCTCTACCAGCTGAGCTAGAGGTCAGACTGAGAGCAGGCCGGGGTCCACATATTCTCATATTTTACCTAATACTACAGCAAGTAGATAATATCAGAGGTGTCAGTCCTCTTTTCGAAAGCGTTGAATAATGACAGAAGTTTTTCTATATATATATATATATATATA